ATCTTAGCTGTAGAGGGCAGTGTCACTGGCCCTCATGTGGGATCCGAACCGGGGTCCTCTGGCGTCCCAAGCCAGTCTTAACCATCGCGCCACTCTGCCGGCCCAGGAAATGCTTTTAAAGCTGAGCTCTCACTGTAAGAGAGTGGTTATCCATATTAGAGGTTGAGCAAGGCATGGAGCTTGTTTAACCACAAATTTATTGCACTTAATTCTGTCTCAGGTTCACAGATGTTAGTGATTTCATTCTTATCTTTTCATTAGTTCATAACTCCCTTTGACAATCTCATGGCAGTTCCAGAATCCTCTCCCCCATGGACACTGGTATTGGGTGGGACTTTATCCCACAGGCTGAAGGGAGCAGGCTATCACTGGTCTTGGTCTCAGGGAGGACTCTGAAGATAGGGCTAATTATAATGAAACTTACTCAAGTCCATGGTTAGATGACAAGTCATATGGCAAAGAGATGATGTAGGGCAGGGTTGAGCAGCAGGTGTCCAAGGATTGTTTGTGGTTTTCCAGAGCAGAAATGGAAGTTGCAAGGGGAAGGCAGCACCTTCACTTTCTAGTAAATGAAATCATTTAGCCACAGGACAGGGAGGAGGAGCCCTGTGAGTGAGCTCCTGCTGGAAGTGTCCTCACTGGTATAGCCTCGCCTTGTTTCTGATCCAGTCACTTGTGTGACTAGGCCAGAAGGGTCCCTGTGTCTGTCTGTTAAAAAGACTAAGTCTGACCTGCAACCGCCATTTAGTTGGCTGTTCAGCTTTCCCTGAGGGGGTGAGGAAATACCCTGTAAATGTGGGTCCACTGTTTATGGAGCTTGCTTTGAAATCTGTTTTGCTGTAATAAAAGATAATAGACACTTCATAAAATGAAACTAATCCTTTTCATTTTTACTTAATTTTTATTTATTGGGGACATTGGTTAATAAAATTATATAGGTTTCTTTATTTAAGATTTTTTTTATTGGGGAATTGGGGGAGGGGAACAGACAAGTTGCTGTCCTTTTGTTCTTCAGTCTAGTTGTGGAGGACATTGTTTCACTGGCCCATGTTGGTATTATCATTGCGCTCTTCTCGGGTGAGGCAGATCAGTCGCCGGCCTCTGGACGGCTGGCCACTCATGGCAGCTCTTGGTAGCTCACGTTGGCTGCCGGCCAGTCCCACTGCAGTACGCTGTCACCTCATGGCAGCCCAGCTCCAGGTCGAGCTGTTGTTCACCATCTTAGCTGTAGAGGACGCAGCGTCACTGGTCCTCATGTGGGATCCGAACCGGGGCCCTGCTGCTCAGAGCTGGCGTCCCAAACCAACTCCTAACCAGCGTGCCACTCGGCCAGCCCTGAAATTATATAGGTTTCAAATGTACAGTTCTATAATCTATCTGTATATATATTGTATTGTGTGTTCACCACCCAAAATCAAATCTCCCATCACCGTATATTTGACCCCCTTTATGCCTTTCTACCTTCCCTTGAAACAAAAGTTTTGGACTTTTACCCTCATGTCAAGGTGTTAATTAGTTGTGAGCCTGCTCTGTGAAACTAGTAGGGCTTTCTTGACTCCAGAATGTTAGCTTTTTCCCACTGTGCTTTGTTACATAACAGCAGCCCTTGGTCTTTGCAACTGAATATTGCAGGTGAATGCCAAGCCCGCTTACAGGGATTGTGTCATTTTCTCTTCCTGAAAACTCAGAGGAAGGTTCTCACCCGGGTGAGAACACAGGTGTGTGTAGTCACCTGCCCTCCCTGGTGAAGTGGATGTAGCTATAGGAACCTGCCTCAGGGTTGTGTCAGATCATATGAGTCACACAGTCCTGTGTGTCAGAGTTGGCTCCTACTTTTCTCCAAGGCCTTTCTGACATGAGTTGGAGGATTTATACCCAGCAGGTGGAGGTCAGCCGGGTCCTGCTCATGTCCCCCAACCCCCTTGCAGGCAACGCCCTGCTGCGGCGCCTCGTCCGCATCGGTGTACTGGATGAGGGCAAGATGAAGCTGGACTACATCCTGGGCCTGAAGATCGAGGACTTTTTGGAGAGGCGCCTGCAGACTCAAGTCTTCAAGCTGGGCCTGGCCAAGTCCATCCATCACGCCCGTGTGCTCATCCGCCAGCGTCACATCAGGTACTGCTTTTGCAGGGCTCCCGGAGCTCTCCCTGACCCCTGACGCTTGCCCTTGCTGAGCCTACTGTCCCTGTCTTCTGTACAGCCCTCGGAGGTGACAGGTGTGAGCTCACCCTGAGGGTACACACTGACCCCTACAAACAGCTCATGGGGGGCTGGGGCCGCCTATCCGCATCCCCCCATAGCCCAGCACAAGGGTCAATGCGGCCTGAGCCGTACACCTTGCGAAGGTCTCTGCCAGGCATGCAGGCAGCTGGACAGGTAACAGCTCTGGTGTCCCCCAGTGAGAGAGAAGTTGGGCTTGAACTGGCTTGGGTGGGTTCAGCTGTCCTGGGCCCACTTGTGAAGTCATCCCAGACCCAGATTGCTGCTGCATTCTTATACTGTGGGCATTACCTTGGTGAAGTCACCACAGTTCAGGGTCCAGTGTGACGCCAATGCTGGCTTGGTGGCCACTGGTGTCCTGAAGACCAGTCAGGCAAGTGGGTCTTGACCAGTGCTGGTCTTGATTTGTACGTTGGGTGCCATTCATGGGAAGCTGTGCCGTAAATGGGCTGGACCTCTACACTCTGAGTTGTTGCCTAGGCCCTTCACTAGCCTGGGACCCCTGGGCAAGAGCCTCACTCACATTCCTTGTGGGAAAGGATTTCATAGAACCTAGTCTCAGGCTGCTGCTTCCAGAACAAAGCTCAGCGTTCAGAATATTTGAAATCAAGATCTTGGGTTTACATGCTGCCACCTCACCTTATTGGCTCTGTGGTCTTGTGTGGGTACTTCTGAATGACCCTCTGTAAAATGAGACGCTTGTCACAAAGTGTCTGGGTTAGATGAACACCCGAGTTCATGGGGTCAGGATGCCTTGCAGCATGGCTGTCCGCACAGCTGCCCCTAGTCCTGTGGCCTTGGCACAAGCCAGAGGTGTCTACCCTGTTTACCTGCCCTCCCCCTCCAGGGTCCGCAAGCAGGTGGTGAACATCCCGTCCTTCATTGTCCGCCTGGACTCCCAGAAGCACATCGACTTCTCCCTCCGGTCCCCGTA